CCCTCTCCTTCCTTCTCTCTTATTTTTTTGATTGTGGGGGGGGGGGGGTCAACAGCCTGGGAGGCAAGGCCTTTTCGCCCCCCCCCCCCGATCTCCTTCTTCCCCCTTTTCTTTTCTTCTTCCTTTCTTCTCTCTTTTATTTTTTATTTTTTTGCGGGGGGGGGTGGCCAAGGCCCGCTCGACCCCCCCCCCTGGATCTGCGCCTGGTATATACCCTTACATTGTGATTACATTATCAGGGATGATTTAAATATTTGTTTCACTTTATACACCCAACAAGATATTGCTTTAGCATCATGCTTTGCAGTTGGGTGTGATGGTCTAAAAAGATTATTTGCGAGCGAGCGAAGCGATCAAAGAAAAACAAATATTTATGAGATCGCAGTGCGAAAAATTACATCTTATAAAGAGGAAAAACCCCAATCCTGAATTGGTTATAAGCACATTCTCATAACGGAAGACTGAAAAGACCTTTGATAAGTATCATAAGTATATCATCCATAGATGCATGCGAGCGTAGCGAGCGAGCTTTGGGAGAAATTGCTCTTGGTCGCTTGAAATTTGGGGAAAGAAGCATGTGTCAAAGTACAAAGAGTAAGTATCAGAGGTGAAAATGGGCCACTTATTACACCCTCAAAAAGAGGCACTCACCAGGTATGAAAAAAAGTCAGTCATGAAAATAGGATAGGGGCATGTATAGGAGGTGAAAAGGGGCATTTAAGAAAAGGGGGTAGTTCTCTTATTAGAAAGGAAAAGGGGCACGTATCATTGTTAAAAGGGAAATTATCAGAGTTGAAAAGAGGCACTGATGTGAATGAAAAAGGGGCACTTATAATAAAGGAAAATGTGCATTAGTTGAAAGAAAATGGGCACCGATCAGATTTTAAAGCTGCATTTATCGGAGGTTAAAGGGGCATTTATCTGAAGTGAAAATGAGTTTCTTCTCGTACCTAAAAAGGGTCATTTACCAGAGAAGGGGCACGTATTAGAAAGGAAAAGGGGCATTAGTTGAAAGAAAATTGGCACCGATCAGATTTTAAAGGGACATTTATCGGAGGTTAAGGAGGCACTTATCTGAAGTGAAAAGGAGTAACTTCTCGTACTTGAAAAGGGTTATTTACCAGAGAAGGGGCACTTATGAGAAGGGGAAATGGCTCACCTTTAAAAAAAATTGAGGATTCCTAAGTAAATTGTTATGCTAGAAACGATGCAATTGACTACTTTCTGAAAATTGGTGCCCAAAGTAGGTCACCCAAATTATACCGAAATAAATACTGAATAGTTTAAAACAATCCTCTTGACTGTCTAAAGTTGATGGTCCTTTGGGCACTTTTGGAACAACTCCAGGGCCCCTGTGGTCTTTTGGGTCTAATTAGCCTATATCATATTTCACTGTATTTTCCAAATTAAGTTTTCTACCCTAAACAAACACTTTTATCCTAAATATTTGTTCCGGAATGCATAACAAATACTGTCAGGCCCCTAAAACATATAATTTGGGCACGTTGGGCACCAATTAAAAAAATTAGACGTTGGCATCACTTTTTGTATCAAATTTAACTTAGGAATCCACATTTGAATGTAAGTGAACACCATCTCCCTGTTTGTGTTACTACAAAACTCTTCACTCATGACGACGGATAGTCAACCTGTTCGAAACGTCGCCACTCATCCTCTCCAAGCGCGATAGTTCTCCTTAGAACTATATGCTAAGAAAGATAACAACAGTCCTTTTCAGGACTACACACCCCCAAGAAAGATTACCGAGTCGAGAGTCCTTTTCAGGACTCCTCAACCCTCTCTCTCTCTCACATGGTGCACCCGCAAATCTACTGTATAAAACTCTTCATGTTGGTGTTCACTTTTCATTCTCTCAATCTTCTTTCTCCTGAATCTATCCGACCCCATTTCCTCTCCTTCCACCTCGTCTCTCTCTTAACATTTTAATTGTCTTCATCATGTTTTACTAACTTTCTTTCTTCAGTGTCCCTATCTTCTTTTCGCCTTAGATATAGTGGACATATTTCATTGCACACCCCTCTACAAATAAGATCATCATTAACATTAACCTTTAAAATGTATGGGAATCAAAATTGAAAGGGGCACACAAAAAAGGAGGAGGGTACTAAAAAGATATGCTTGATTGGGTTTAGAAGGGAGGGGGTATGGGCCGGTTGTAACCCCCCCCCCCCCCCCTCACTCAGCCACTGTATATAGTTAACAAGAGAACCCTGGGAAGGCGATGTATTGGGGGTGGGGCATGCACGATTGTGACTTTTTAAGTTCTTGATGGTGGCGTAGTTTAGATAAACTAGCAAATAGGTAGATAGATTGATTTATTGTGGTAAATTAACAAATAAGAAAGAAAAAAAACTTTTTGATAGTCATTTGCAGATCTCAAATCTTAAAACTCTGAAAAATAATTTGACAATGCATTAGATTTAAAAAGGACCATTGAACCTTTTATATGCAACATACTTTAAAACTTATCAAGGCATTGCGGGTATACTTTCATGTACTTATACAGTGTATATATTTAAAAACTTGTCTCTTTCTTCAAAGAATCTATACATAAGTCTACAGAAAATATAGATATCTGACAAAAAAGGTAAGAAGTATAATAGTTTATTCAGCAATAGCAAAATACTTAGACTGTCCAAACAATTGCAGATCATATACAGGTTCTACAACCTATTCTCGGATGACAATTATTTCATGGCCAATATCCTACATACCAAGTATCTCGCAACATGATTGGTCTATAGTAGGTCACTTGACAAATGATAGATTATATATATCTTTACAGTGGAAGTGATAGTAATAACCTATCGCATATGTGATGCAGAATAGACATACGCATTAGGAGCTAATAATGAACCATGGTTTTGAGGAAAACGTGTAGGCTATTGCGGCGTAGGTACCACAACGCGCAAGCTATAGCAGCTCGCTGCTGCAAAGTTAAATACAATACATGTTTAGCCTTGACTTTCACGTTCATTAATTATTCCTCTTCTCGTTGGGAAAGCATTGTCGATGTGGGATATAAGGCACATTTTCACCTATTTGCTATATCCTGAGGTCTGTCCTAAGAAGATTGCATGCCAAGTGACCCACATGAGACAACAAAATTGTTGAGGGAGGCTTGTGTTACTGCAAAACCTACAACGATTTGCAATGCACTTTCAAGATAAACAACAAAAAGAGGGGGTTTAGTTGATTTGCTTCTTTTACCTGACTGCTATGAAAGCATGTGTATGTTGGTAAGTGAGCAACCAGGGGACCAACAGCTTTAAATCCTCTCCCAGGGACTTGGTAATGGGGATTAATGCCCTTACCAAAGGGCATCTACTTGGCGTGGAGCCCTGGACGTCCGGGTCACAAGAACGCTGCTCTACCATCTACCATCTCTATACACATCCATCTCCATCGTTATAACTATTATTCAGGTCCAACCAGGCCTGTTACCCATCATGTAAAAGTACAGGGCTAGTACTGATTCAGCTGCCTACGCACATTTAAATGACTTTTCACATTAACTTAGAAGTCTCTATCTCTATCTAATATAATTCAATTAAAATTCAGCACAAATAAATAAAAAGTAGGATAGAAGATACGTCATTGTGTAAAATAAACGTAAATGGAAAGTAATTACAAATGTATTATTAAAAACGATGTATGGCAGGGCACTTTCCTTTGTTCTCACTTTATTTATTCCTTTTTTTCCTTCCTTTTCGTCTTTTTGTCCTTTTTTGCAGTAGAATGGAGAACATTCGTTTTTTTACCAATACAAAAGAGATGTTAGAACAGATAGACAGTTAACAACGAACAACTAAAATATTCATACCCCTTGTAAATTTGATGATTTTGGTGTTTTTCCTACCTCAAGAATGAAAGCTGGACTGGTTGAATATTAGGGCCTTTGTTGCATACTTTTAGATGTAAGCTTTAATATGTCTCATTCTTAAGTAGCATAGGCCTAAATTGTGACAAATCAATTTTCACACACTAACAACGTACAAAACTTGGTAAGGGTTTGAATGGTTTAGTTGTTAACTATATATATTTCTATATAACTATACAATCCTCCTGCGATCCAATTCATGAAGAACGGCAATGATAGGAGTTTTAACCAGAATTTCATTACATTTAAAGATAAAGCCGAGTTCTGGTCATGCGATTGCATTGTGAAAGGAAAGGTGTGGAATTGATCAGAAAAGGTCGATCATCTAGCATATAAGTAATCGTGTGTACTTCAAGGTTTTGAAATCATAAAAATGATAAGAAATTTGGCCCAGTCTTGGTAAAGTTACAAACACTGTACACAGAAAGATGTATATGGGACTACACGAACACGTGGCGTAAAAATCCTCCTCCCCCCCCCCCCCCCCCCCCCCCCCCCGAGTTTTACGATGTTACATGACATATTTAGAATATGAAGGCATTTGAAGAGCCATGCTTTTCAGGGAACACGTCTTATCTGACGTTCTTCCACATTTGCATAATATGAATGATAACGCTCACAAATTATTTTTCACCTCTTCCCAGAACTCAACCTTCTCTTTAAAGGTATAGACCAGTTTTGGAATGCCCCCCTCTCAAAAAATGAAATGGAATTTCTTATTACCAATTATGTAAAAGAATATGTTTTGACTAATACGTGATGATACAAATTTTGCCAGGAACCTGCCTACTAATTGATATATTTGGTAACTTATAATATCTATCAGGACTGGATAGATATAGGGTAGTCCCATATACATCTTTCTGTGTACAGTGCTTGTAACTTTACCAAGACTAGGCCAAATTTCTTAATCATTTTGATGATTCCAGAACCTTGCAGTACACACCAATACTTATATGCTAGAGGATCAACCTTTTCAGATCGATTCCACAACATTTCTTTCACAATTCAATCACATGACCAGAACTGGTCTAAACCTTTAACATTGTACAAGTTTGAAAGTTCACATCAAACGCTAATGCAATGAACTACTTCCACATTCAGATTGCAGGCATATCATGTAGTGTACGCCGGGCCTTACTTTATTGAAAAATTCAGCTCTAAATGTTACTTCTATATAGAAATGTTGCAAAAAACATGTATTACTTAACATAGAAGTGGCTTTCGAGAAGACTAGTCGACGCATCTATACGCGCTCACACGGACGGAGTATGGCCCGTACAGGACCCAAGTCAGTCATAGGTTCTGTGCACAGGGTTTTATATTGTTCTTTATTTGTTCATACTCCTTAACTGTTAGGCCACAGAATTCCAAGGAAAGGTTATTTTAGTTTAATTCTATACCTTCTAGCTGAACAATCTCTTTTTTAATTAAAAGGTGATTGGTATCCTTTAGAAAAGAAGAAAAGGAGGAAAAGAATCGTTCTTTAAAACACTCCTGTGAGACTACAACCAATGAAAGCCACATCTCGTTTGCCAATCCCAAACCATTAGACCTCTGTATAACTGAATTTGATAAAAATGTAAGTGTACAAAAACTATATCGAGAACAACATCGATGAAAAACAGACCCGGTATATCTTTTAAGAACAATCAGACCTGTTTTAACTGAATTTGATAAAACAAAATAAACATGTAAAAACTCAAGTGAAAAAACTTGCACTGGAAGACAGACCTAGGCCGTGTTACATAAAACTTGTTATTAATTAACAAGTACTAAAATTCTCTGGCAAATGTGCTCTCAGCCAACCAAATGCAATGTTTTCAATCGCTTAGAACCTTCATCGTAACTTGTAATTGGTACCAAATTCTATCCAAAATGGCTCTGGGCCAGTGACTCAAAGCTTACCAATTGATCGTATGATGGGTTAATTTATCTAATGGTTAACTGCTTGTAAATAGCAATCAACTGAAAAATAGCAATCTATTGTTAACTTATCCATGTGGTAAAGGGCCCTGGGGGGTGTTTCACAAAGACTAAGATCGACTTTAAGTTGGACTTAACTATGGCAGGCCATTCATGCCATTGTTTGCTCTCACCGTTTACTGGCATGGTCTCACAAGGGACCTAAAAATCGTGTTCACAAATCTACAGAATTTATATTTTGTGATAATTCATTATTGAAGGAAAAAATATTATTTAAAGATCATAATTGAGGGACCAATGAGAAGAGCAACCAGTGGCACGAATGGCCTGCCATAAATAATGTAAGTTCAAGTTAAAGTCGATTTTAGTCTTAGTGAAACACCCCCCTGGTATGACTTTCCAAACCATCAGACTCAACTAAATTTTGCTGAAAATATAAGCATACAAAAACTATTCTGATAACACTATTGGATGTAAGACGTATCCGGATATCCTCTGAAAAATATCAGACATCCGTCATTGCACTTGGATAGACTTTGGGTTGATGTTGTAGCCGTATTACCAACTGTCTTACTTTGTTAGCAAACCAGCGGTTGATGGGCGTCTTGTTCTTGCTGTACACGTTTAAGAAGATGCCAAAGATGACGAGCATTCCCGACCACACATATCTGATAAAAGGAAAGAGAACCAGAGAGAACATATATGAGAGCATAGTTTAGCATAAATCAAAGATGTATAGTACAGTCAAACCTGTCTATAGCGACCGCCCAAGGAAAACACAAAAAGTGGTCTTTGAAGACAGGTGGTCACTAAAGCAGGTTTGACTGTAGTTAGTAGTGAGTTTTTGAGGGGAATTTGACACCATTCTGATTATTACCAAATAACAAGTGTTGTCAGTCACCAAGAGTGGACTTCCGTTTTACAACAGACAGGTCTTGTGTGATTCACTGTGCCTACCATCATATGGAATTCTTACCTTATATATCATATATTTTCTTCATCCTCGAGATATAGGCAAGTTGGATTATTTGGTTTCATGGGTTTGCTGCTTCAGAGACACTTGCACACCAGGGGAATGTTTCACAAAGGTCCTAAGTTGAACTTATCTCTAAGTTGGACTTAACATTTATGGAAAGCTGTTAGCATCTATGAAAATATTTTGTAACATTTCTTTCAAAAGGCATAATATGTTGATTCAAATCATTCATATTTTCTATTATCAAGGAGATTTCATGTTCTTGATGTGGGATTTATGAAAAGTCTAAAATACTTGAATGTTTGCTTTTGAATATGTTTTATTTTGAGGCTACAAATGACTCTCCAACTTAGAGGTAAGTTTGACTTAGGATCTTTGTGAAACACCCCAGTTCTCTGTAAAACATGTGTTATACTTACTGCATTGTAAATGGCTTACTGAAGAGAAGGAACGATAATATCATCGTGACAGTTTTTCTGGTGGTGGTTACTGAAACACAAAACATACAAGAAATCAGAGAAATACAAGAGAATTCTACTTCCACACTTCATAGTGTGAATTGTGAAATAAATATAAACCCTTCAACTCAAATTGTTTAAACCCCAAAGTGCATGAATACATGGTGTAATGAAAATTCATTTGAATTGTGATTTAAACAGATTCACAATGTGTAGCTTGTGCCAGAAACAAGACTAGGCATGGCATTGTGAGTATCCTTCAAGTACCCTCCACAGTACTGCAGATCAGTGCTGTGTGTGTGTTTGTGTGTGCTACACGATTTGCCTGACATAGCAGTGTATTTGTGTATAGGCTATATAGGTATGCTAGGTGGTGTTTGTGTTGACACTGCTGTACAATCTCTATGGAAGCCGGACATAACGTCATCTTTGCATCTTCCCCAGTATCGTATTAATGCATTGCTAACCTGCGCAGTGCGGGAGGAAGGTCGCCATCTATTGTCGAACATTGTATTTGCGGTAGGGTCAATTGATTCCAGATAGTTTCTCTCACAGTGTAAATCACATGACCAGGGGGGCATTTCACAAAGCCTTTTTTAATGACAAATTACAAAATTCAGTGACAAATCTGCTGATAACCAATCAGAAGCAAGGATTTCAGTAGCTTATAACAAAAACTGTCATTTGTCTCTGATGACAAGTTTTGTGAAACGCCCCCCTGAACTAAACCTTCCCGCTAATCTTCTTACCTGTTACAGTGATTAAGGCACCAAACTGCCTGATCATAGCCAAGACAAAGATGATGCCCATATACCCAGATAATGAGAACAGGATGGCATAAACATACGTTTTAACTGGGTTCTGATAAGACAAACAGACAATAAGAAAATAAAAACAATAGTGATAATTTGTTTTTTTGAAAGATATTTAGTTATTGTACAATTTTGGATTTTAATGTATTCTCGTTTCGTAGTACGATACATGGAATCGCTCCAACATTAGTACCAATAGTAGTAGTACTAGTAGTAGTAGTAGTTGGAGTAGTAGCAGCAGTAGCAGTCATAGCAGTCGTAGCAGTAGTAGCAGTAGTAGCAGTAGTAGCAGTAGTAGTAGTAGTAGCAGTAGTAGTAGTAGTAGTAGTAGCAGTAGTAGTAGTAGTAGTACTGGTAATAGTAGTAGTAGTAGTAGTAGTAGTAGTAGTAGTAGTAGTAGTAGTAGTAGTATTAGTAGTAGTAGTAGTAGTAATAGTAGCCGGTGTAGTACCAGTAGTAATTACATGTACCCTAGTAGTAGTAGTAGGAGTAGGAGTAGTAGTAATAGTAGCCGGAGTAGTAGCAGTAGTAATAGTAGTAGTATTAGTAGTAGTAGTAGTGTAGTAGTAGTAGTAGTAGTAGTAGTAGTAGTAGTAGAAGTAGTAGTACTGGTAGAAGTAGTAGTAGTCGTAGTAGTAGTAGTAATAGTAGTGGTAGGATTAGTAGCAGTAGTAATAGTAGAAGTAGAAGAAGACTTTGTTTGTCCTGCCACGGTACTACTGTCCTTTGGCAAGACATTAACCTACATTTGCGACTCTCCACCAAAGTGTTAAATGGGAAACGGTAGGAGAAAATTCCTTGAATGATGTGAGCATTGAAATCGGTAGCCTAGCAGAGCAGGGGGGTGTTTCACAAAGATTCTAAGTCAAACTTAACTCTAAGTTGGACTTAAATATTATGGAGAGCAATTTGTAGCCTTATAATGAAATATATTCAAAAGCAAAAGTTCCAAGTATTTTCATAAATTCCACTTCAAGAACATGAAATCTCCCATGATATTAGAAATTATGAATGATTTGAATCCACATTTTTACGCCTTTTAAAATAACTTTTACAAAATATTTCCAAGGATGCTAATGGCTTTTCATAATTGTTAAGTCCAACTTAAAGATACTGTAAGTTCAACTTAGGATCTTTGAGAAACACCCCCTGGGGTAATATTGGAGTGCCTTGATGCATATGTGCGCTAAAAAAAATACCCAATATTATAAGTGTTTAATACTTACTTGATAACAAAACCAGAAAGCCTCTAAAAAACTACCATGTGCTACAAGCCCAATGAAGATGATGACGAACCCTATGGAATATGAATATAAAACCTGCAAACAAAGACAAAAATTAAAAACTTAATTTTATTATGCATGTGCAAATTTTGAAAATATACTACTCTAGGTAACCGAGGGGCGACATTAAACCCTTTTGGAAGGGGTCTGGATTGAATGTGCACCGTAAGAGTCTCTTTTCATATGCCCTGTGTGACAATTTTGCAATTTCTGGAGTCCAAACTCACATGTAGATTAAGGGCACCCATGTCTCTCAGGGGCATGGTAAGTGTCGAGCCCTGGGCAATTTTTTTGAATAACATTCAAGAAGTCAAATATTTACAACATTGTAGTTGTTGAAGTCCTAAAATCCATTCAGTCTTTTTATAAGCCAGGGGTGATAGTGAGGACTCCCCCCCCCCCCCCCCCTCATTTTTCTGCTTTCTTCTAGAGTAAATTGCTATGAAGGTTTGATAACCCTTTAGGATTAGGTATAGTATTGGATACAGGGGTGGAGTAAGAAACTCAGTTGGAGTAAAAATTGGAATGGGAGAAAAAAAATTGCAGGAGAATTATCAAAAAGGCATTTACTGTAACTTACTACTTCTGATGAAGATGCTCTGTGCGCTTTCATTGCTTTTTCTTGAACATTTCCTATGACAGCATCGGCACCCAACGCTAATGATATCAATATAATACCTGAAAAGAAGAAAGAGATGTGGTGGTGGTTATTTTACCTGACTGCTAAGAAAGTATAAATGCTTGTAAGTAAGCAACCAGACGGCCGACGGATTAAGGTCCTCTACGAGAGACCTGGTAATGAGGATTAATGTCTTACCAAAGGGGACTAGCGTATCGACTTGGTTTCGAACCCGGGTCACCGGATTACGAGACCACTGCTCTACCGACTGAGCTATCGCACCTCCTCCTTTTTAAGACATACATGGAGCATCAACTCACAACCGTAGCTTAGGAGAGAGAGAGAGAGAGAGAGAGAGAAGAGAAAGAGAGAAGAGACAGAAAGAGAGAGAGAGGGGGAAGAAATAGAGAGAGAGAGAGAGAGAGAAAGAGAGAAGAGAGAAGAGAATGAGAGAAGAGAGAGAGAGAGAGAGAAAGAGAGAGAGGGGAAGAAATAAAGAGAGAGAGAGAAAGAGAAAGAGAAAGAGAGAAGAGAAAGAGAGAAGAGAAAAGAGAAAGAGAGAAGAGAGAGAGAGAGAGAAAGAAAAAGAGAGAGAGAAAGAAAAAGAGAGAGAGAGAGCAAGAAAGAGAGAGAAGGCACAAAAACATGAGACGGATACAGTGTGCTTCAAATGTCTCTATCTCATAACACACAACGATCACCAAGTACATATTGCTGCCACTGTTACACCATGTAATGTTGCTACACAATATAAATTGCCTTTTGGCATTAATTTAAACATGATATTTAGCAACAGTGATACTTTGAGGTGGTTTAACACATTAAAGAGGAAGTCCACCCTGATAATAAGTTGGTTTCAAGAGAAGCAGAAAAAATGAGAGAAACAGGTCAGTGAAATTTTGAGCAAAAACCGATAAAGAATAAGAAAGTCATGAATTTTAAAGTGATTTGTTTCATTCAGGGTTTGTACAAAAACATATTTGTAATAATAATAATATTTAGGATAAATATCTGATTGAAAACTTTCTTAAAGAGAAAATATAAAGTGTTGATTTTTTGTTTGTTAATTGGGCAAGTGAGAGTGGATCTTGCATGATACGTCACAGAGTTGCCAATTTGTGTTTTATTGATAGCACCTTCAAATTCATAACTTTCTTATTTTTCATTGGTTTTTGCTCAAAATTCCACTGACCCTTTTCTCTCATTTTTCTGTGTTTATTAGAACCAACTCAACATCAGGGTGGACTTCCCCATTTGTGTTTTTTCAAAAAGAAATACTGTGACACGAAGATGCTATGAATGGTAATCGTCCTTGTCATCGTCGTCCTTGTCGCTTACCTGTCCTGTCAAACTTCGGTGAGACAGTACTGTCAGCCAAGGTGAAGAAGATAAGACCTATACTCATACAGATAGCCGCACATGCGTCTGTCACCCCATACGGCTTGCCTGAACATGACATGGAACAAACAGAATTACGATAAGTCTTGATAAGTTACAGGTAGAATAAGTGAGTGAAGTTGAAGGAAATGAGACCTACACTCATACAGATGGCCGCACATAATAGACAGAAATATTTCTTCAACAAACAGGGGAGTGTTTCACAAAGACTAAGATCGACTTTAGGTCGGACTTAACTATGGCAGGCCATTCATGCCACTGGTTGCTCTCATCATTATGATTTTAAGATATTATTTTTTTCCTTCAATAATGAATAAGCAGATAGGAATTTGTATAGTGCATGAAATTATCCCGGAGCAATTGATTCAGAAGCGTGTGCCAGACAAAACCAGAACAATAGCCACTTCATGTTTCAACAAATAGTTGTTGACAGCTGGTCACACTAGCAGTCTCTGGAAGGAGTTTCCCACATATACCAATCAATACAAATGATATAAATTTGTTTTAATTACAGAAGAAACAGCGCCAGGTGTCACTGCACTGTTCTCTCACAGTCATGTTACAGACAATTGCTAGGGCTTTATTTGTCAATATTATAGGGTTAGCATAAGGGTCGCTGTAGACAGGTTTGACTGTACCTTGTATAAGGACGCCGCCTATCATGACGGGTATAAGTTTGCAGCATTTAAAGATGACCTGGGTGGGGTAGTTGAGATATCCCAATGATGCGTTGGACATGCCCATGGTCGTCACTGTCAGGATCGAGAGCAGCAAGTATGTCTTCATAGGTATTCTGGGAAGGAAATTAAAAAAGAGTTTGAGTTTGAGTTTGAGTTTGAGTTTGAGTTTGAGTTTGAGTTTGAGTTTGAGTTTGAGTTTGAGTTTGAGTTTGAGTTTTGAGTTTAAGTTTGAGTCAAATTCTAGTCCCATAATCAAACTGTTGCTCTGGGCCCTGTCTCATAAAGAGTTGATATCAATCACAACTTATTTGAGAGTGATATCAATCTCAACTATGTACATACATGTAAGAGATAGGAGACTGCAAACTTGCGATTGATTTGGATCAATCGTAAGCCTTTGTAAGACTGGGCCCTGAGGTGGAAGTGTAAAAAATAATGCATGACTGTATGTCTTCATAGGAGTTCTGGGAAGAAAATTAGAAAAGAGTCAAATTTTTAGTCCTATTATCAAACTGTTGCTCTGCATAATTGCAAATTATTTGAGAGTGATATCAATCGCAGCTATGTACATTAAGAGATAGGAGACTGCAAACTTGCGATTGATTGGAGGACTTGCGATTGATTTGGATCAATGGTAAGTCTTTGTAAGACGGGGCTCTGAAGTATAAGCAAGGGAAGTGTAAAAAATAATGCATAACTCTAGTTTACATGAAGTGCTCTGGAACTGAAAAAGGAACTGTGGTGATATGAATTAATTATTCATTCACAAATATCTTTTACCAGTAGTCTACATTTAATATGAGAAAGAAAATAGAAGAAAGAAAAAATAGATCCCAATGAAAATTCAATGCATTTTTTGAAGAATAGGATCTGAATAAATACAAATATTGTTCTGTTTACCCCCAAATACCTTGGACATATTCAATCTTAAACATGTGCAAACTAATGTCTCGTACAAGTTGTACAATAAATGTTATCAATCAAAGAGGGTTTAAAGACTCCTTCATACGCCTGAGTAAAATGAAAGCATCAACATAAAAATACATTTCAAAACTCGCCCACTTTTCTAAGGCAACAAAATAGATTGTCTGTTCACTCTGCTGAGACTAAGAAAGACATTTACTAATATAGGCGAAAAAATTCTGCACACATCGAATTTAAATTTCTTTCAGGACTATATTGCATTTGATGTCAGGAATTCTTTAAAGGGAAAAACCTCGCTTGAGAGATCTAATGTCCTTTTATAAAAATCAAAATTGGCTATGTTTTCCAACTTTTCAATAACATTCTCCACATTGCATATATTTTTATCGGAAACACTACTGCTATTTAACAGTGTACAAACAAAAGAAAAACATTAATTTTGCCAATTTGAAGAATAATATGTGATCAATTAAAGGTATTATGTCCTATTTACAGGTCAAAAAAATGAAAAGGTCCATTTCCAATGGCATATTAAAGTAAATACTAATTTAGAACTTCCCTAAAAAAAGGGGGGCTTGAAAATGTCTTTAAGTGGGAAAATAACAACTATTAGTTGTCGTATCGACTTAAGAACTACAGTATAGAGCCAGTAAGTAATAGTCTGATTTTCAGACCATTATACTGAATGGTCGTACGTTTTATGCTGCGCAAAGATTCAATCAGTTTCATTTTGGCCATTACAATGAGTGGGTTATTGATTTAGACAAATGCTCATGTACCCTTTACAGCTCATTAGTATGTTATTACCAAAGATTATCAGTCACTCAATAGTGTCTGACAGTAAAGTCTAGCAAGTAAACATGTTTCCTTGCATAATTTAAATATTAGGACACTGCTAATGTTTAAATTTCACAGAAGGACATACATGACATATTCATAATTTCTGCAAAGTTCTACAGAATTTGATGTTGGCTGCAAAAGGGACATAGTACCTTTAAGCCATAAATATAAATTTTGTCCAAGGCCCCGTTGTATAAAAATTAACATTGATGGTAACTACCATGGAAACCTTGATTTTGATTGGCTGTTGAGCCCTGTTACCATGGTAGTTGCCATTGATGGCAAAGGTACCATATGGTAAGTTTTATGCAACGGGGGCCAGAAAGGGTTAAAATCAAACTCAATAGAGTATTGTAGTAGGATTATAGTCGTACATGTACGTAATATATTATTGGACTTCTGATCCACAAGGTCCCTGGGGGCAAGCAAAGACAAAACAACAAATCTCTATGTCACTTGAGCTCATGGTCAACAAGTACAGTGTATATCCCAATTTAAAGAAGAAAACATGACCTATTCTAGCCCTTAAAATCCCTATTCAGCACCAGATCCAGTTCAACAATAAAGTTAAGAATTCTGATTGTTTCCAAATCAGTCTCCCAAAGTTACAGGGATAGGGTATTGGGAATGTCATTGATCAGAGAAAACGAGGTCCCACCCCAACAATGTATGTTGATGAATCTTCAGCAGGATTTTATTGGATGGATGGCATATACATGTATATCCAACACTTTTTCCACATACTTGTTAATTACAAGAGTCCAATTTGGGAATGACTTGTTTTAATTATTATCATTATCAGTCAAGTAATCTAGGACCAGCCCATTATTGAAGCATAATTTCATCTACATCAACTGGTGCAGGAACTGTTCACATATGCTATACTTAATGTTTTTCTCATAACAAATCTTATGAAGGCTTTTTGTTTTGTTTGTTGTTTTCTTTTTTTTACCAAGGCTCTTTGATTGCTCTTCAGAACTGAATCATTTACCACCCCAGTCAATATTTTGGCTGATGTACATGAACGTTGCTGACACGTTTTTTTTCCCAGACAATTTTCCCTGACCCTCAGGGTTGCATTATGTAAGGCATTTGTATGATTGTAACATTTTATGTTTTTCCTACCTTTTTTATTTAATTTTGTTGTTGTTGTTGTTCTGCCTCTTTTATCTCTATACTTTAAATCTATTTTAGCATTTATAATTGTTTGTAAATATTGTGATTGTGTTTGATTTAAACAAAATATATTTTAAACAAAAAATTTAAAAAGAAACGCTGCTAATGTGTCACATACCTCCTTTTGTTGTCACTCTGGACCTGGGTTGCTAGGAGACCAAATATTGTATAACAACCAAACTGTGTGAATGTCAGATACCAGCCATAAGACTTGAAATCGTCAAAACTGAAGATTAATTCCTGAAATCACAATTAAAGAAATAGAATTGTATCATTGTAACATTTAAATGGAATTAACAGGATAACTTGTAAATCAAATACCAACTGCATGGATATTTGTGGATAGACAGGTAGTTAGGTACACTAGAATCTTTATGCAGCTTAACAGGTATGATGGGGATTGCATGTCTAGGCACTTTATAAAAATAAACCTGTCACTTTTGCCTAAGCTATTAAAGCCTGTCTACACTAGTTTGGCCAGGGGGATTAGACCTCCATGCAAGGTCACTGGCAGTTGGTTATCTCATCAAATCAGCTCTCAAGTAACATAAGAAAAAGAGGATCATGGGGGACCAACAGGCACTGATTAGGCATTGTTTGCTATATAGAGGGCACAAGTAGCTATAAGTAGTACAGTGGGGCTTTAAAGAAAACAATGAATCAAATATCACCAACAATCATAAATATTTGTCTTCTATTATATTAAATCTAACATACAGTACAGTGTGGAAGTCCTAAAAGATTGATTAAATATTGCATAGAAACTTCTTTAAATACCGTAGCTGATTAAAAAAAAAACTGTCTGAATCCGCCACCTGTTCAGACACACAACGTCTGGGTATACAGTATATATGTAGAGAGTTGTACACAACAATAGCTGCACTGTCAATTATATAACTACACAAACAGAAGTCCTTCAACCCTGGACCATTGCCTAACCCAAACCTTAGAAACTATGAACCAAATTTAAAACCCGATTGCAGCACTAATCTTTTTCCTTAATTTTGATGAAATAAAGCCCAGAACAGGTGTCAGATACTGTAGATCACCATATACATTTATTAGTCTTACAAATTATGATAATTCTCCGTCTAACAGAATTTCATGAGGGCATTTAATCTCTTTTATAAACTAAAGGTGTACATTTTATCCACCCATAGAGAAAACTACATGTACATGTAGACTCTAAAAGGAGGCAAAAAAATCAGTGAAGAAGCCTGGTGAAAGTTTGAAGGAAATGGGACAAACAGAAACAGCTTATGAATTGTTAAAGTTGAAATCAATAGGAGCCTAAGTTGAACTTACATGTACAGTACATGTACATTTATCTCTAAGCTGAACTTAAAAATTATGGAGAGCCATTTGTAGCCTTAAACAAAATATATTCAAAAGCAAGTATTTTAGACTTTTTATTTAAGTTCCACATGGAAGCTCTTATTACCAATCATGTGAAAGAGTATGTTTTGACTAAACATGATGATAAAAAAAATGCTAGATGATCAACCTTTTCTGATCGATTCCACAATGTTTCTTTCACAATTCAATAGCATGACCATAACTGGTCTTTATCTTTAAAATAACTTTTTTATATATTTAAAGATGTTAACAGCTTTCCATAATTTGTAAGGCCAACTTAGAGATAAGTTCAACTTTAAAGGATCTTTGTGAAACACCCCCCAGGTGAGTTTAGGCATATTTTGTAACATTTTAGTTTGTACACAAATTGCAATCATTAGGCGACTTTTTGAGCAGTGGATCTGATATGAAGCCTCATTGACGAATGAGCTGTAAACTTCCTCAAAAACATTCCAACATGGCATTTGCATGTCAAGGGGTCAATGACACAAAGACGTACGTACAGTAACTCTATTTTGGCCATTTTGAGAAAAAGTGGTTAACTGTATTTGTCACTGAGCACTATTAAAGTCTATGTTTCACCAGCCATTGACTTCAATGGGGTGGGGTGTTGGATGGATTTAAGGCCCACATTTTCTGAACATTTTGATATCAAATACTCCATTTGGCAAAATATGGAGTATCGGCTTTGTGTCACTGAACCCTCGATGTATTATGCATGAAGTTGACTCAATTTTGCTGGAAACCACATGCACTGCCCACAAAAAAATGAGATTGATAAGACTACACTACACTACACACTCAAGTTGCATGGGAGTTTGGTCCAAACATTTCATCTACAGCTGTATATTGCGAAAATGACGCCAATTTGAAGCGCAATCCTTATCAGGGGACATTTTTTGTCTGCGATTGATTTTCTTCCAAAATGTTTCATACATGTTTCAACAATGCGGAAGCTCACCAATCATTCTCCATCTTCACCAGGGTTCCGTTCCACAAAGCCTTTTTTCAATGACAAATGGCAAAAAGCAGTGACAAATCTGCTGATAACCAATCAGAAGCAAGGATTTCAGTAGCTTATAACAAAAACTGTTATTTGTCAGTAATGACAAGTTTTGTGAAATGGGGCCCAGAACTAAACCTTCTATTTAAATAGTTTTACCATATCCCACTCATATCAAACATTTCATTGTAACATTTTGAGGCTTTGGAGAAAGAAAACCTAGCTGATTGGATATTTGAATACCAAGTAGCCATTGTAAACAAGTACCTTTAGGGTTGCTCAGCGCGAACACGCGGAAATAACAGTGTTTACAGTATCCGTGACAATGAAAAGTGTCTGGTTTCTTTTTTGTTCTCTGCATGCTCTACATGCTTTACACACATTATCACAATGATATGTGTGGAAAAACTAACAACAAATTTTCAAGGTAATATTGATTCATCCATTCAAGTGCATCTGCAAAACACAGTTAAATAGAGAATGGAAAACAAATTGAATTCCTGAAACTTTGCACATGCTGCTATACGCCATCGTCGCTATGTTACATCAATGCACAATACAACTTCTTTACAAACCCAACATTTGAAATAGACAGTTCATGAACTACATAGGATTATTAAAGAGGAGATCAAAATTACTTGCAGTCTACTGCCGGCTCTTATTAAAATGCAGGGGGGTGTTTCACAAAGATCCTAAGTTAAACTTATCTCTAAGTTGGACTTAAAAATTATGGAAAGCCATTAGCATCTTTGAAAATATTTTGTAAAAGTTATTTTGAAAGGCTTTAATTGTTTATTTAAATCATTCATATTTTCTATCATCAAGGAGATTTCATGTTCTGGATGTGGAATTTATAAAAAGTCTTAAATACTTGAATTTCTGCTTTTGAATATATTTCATTTTAAGACTCCAATGGCTGTCCATAATTTTTAAGTCCAACTTAGAGTTAAGTTCTACTTAGGATCTTTGTGAAACACCCCCAGATTCATCAAAATAATTTAAGCTTAGGTTTAACCCCATATAAATTGCCAAAAATGATTATTAAACATGGGAGTAAAATTTGGACTTATGTTGCTTTTTTCGATTTAAAATTGGGTCAAAAATGTACCTTCAATGAAAAAATAAACTCCAAATGAGGGTACATGTTTTGTTTCCCTCCCCACCAGCATTGAAAGGGTTATTATCCATTGATGCAATGGAGCACTTCTTTGGATGATGAATAAGAGTTGGGTCAACAGACCTCCAGTACATGCACACTTGTATGACTTCACCAAAAAAAAATGATTTGTTTACCTGACAATATCCATAGATCAGGAAGAAGAAGAAAATGGACCCCATGAGAAAGAAAAACTGGAAGCTAGTAGACCACGTTGAAAGAGGAAACCCAACAACGTAGAACACATCGCGCTGGTTGCTCGGATCTTTCGTCCCTTTATCATCATCTGCAGACGAACCCCCCATGTTCACGACACGCTGTCCATTTGCCGCTCCGGACCCTGCGTCCCCCTTGGGGGGTAGACCACTGGAGGACCTCGCCCCCTGGACATGGCTCGGATCGGGCAACTCCATCAGGTAGGTTGCTGCCTCGCGATACTTGAAGCTGTCGTTGAGCTTGGAGGCTGATGTCTGGCGGGTTGTGAGAGCCCGGTTGGCTGGGACACGGCCCACTAGCCGAGGCTTGTGTGGGTTTGACATGCCTGAGCGGAGATATAAGGGTGCCAGTAAGTTAAGCCCCTGGTGAATCTTTTATTCAAGCTTCACATATTCTACAGGTAGTCTTTTCACTCATGGTACATAAAGTTAACCTACATGTAGTTTAATTGTACACGATTTGTGAGGAATGCTAAAAATTTTGGGAAAAACAATTAAAACCATGATATTCAGAAGAGGGGGGGGGGCAACGCTTTGTAATTGATGAGTACAATTTTGCGACAGTGCAACAACATACACCATAAGAAGTCTGTTTGCATGCTTCAGGTCCCATTCCCCCCTTCCCCCTCCCACAACTTAGGCCATTAAAAAATATATACATGTTTAGCGTCCCCGCCCGCTTCCTTTTTGGAAGCCGCCTCCTATTTTTTGATTTTTGATTTTTTTTAAAGAAAAAAACATGAAAAACACTGCTAAAATGGATCTATTTCTGATTTTAAAAAACTAAATTTTAAAAAAGTCAGCGGCCATCTTGAAAAATAGCTCGACTGTCAGGGAAAATGTACCGAGCGGCTATTTTGAGCGGCCATTTTGAAGAAGAAAAAAAGGGCCTCCTCCTTCCTATTTTTCAAAAAAGCAGGACGCTAAACATGTTTTTTTTATTTGGCCTTACAAAAAAAATGATCTCTGGCTCCTGGTTACATGGAATAAAGGCGCTGAAATTATGATATTGCAAATCTTTATCAAATAATAACAACAACAACAACAATAATAATATTAATAATTATAATCATAATACTCATAATAATAATTATGATAATAATAATGTCAAATATACTTGTTCTAAAATCTGTACATGTACATGTATTTCAAAGCGTCTCATATCACAGAATATGGCATACAAAGCACATTCAACATACTGGGTATAATTTAAAGATACCGGTACTATGATGATACAGTTTAAAGGGATTGGGTATAACTTTGTCTCGGATTCTGGTACAAAATTCTGGATTTAGCTCATGCTGTAATGATAATTATAGACCTTTAGGTCAGTCAGAACCCCATGACTTTTACAAGCCGATCGCTTGTCTGATTTTCAAAATATTTATGATTGGAAATCGAAATCAAATTTTGTGTTTTTCCCTAACGGTTTTCATAACACTAGTCTATTGGGGAAAACAAGTATGGGGAAAACAAGTTGTACGGTAAAAACCGGTCACTCAAAGATTTTTACTTTTTTGAGGCACTTCTTGATCATTTTGAAACGCAATTTTTTTAGGGCTTCAATATTACACCATATCACAGACACTGATAACATGTAGGGCTGCGGGCATCTCAGATTTAACATTGTTAAACGATGCCTTTAAATTATCTGTTTTTATCTTAGTCCTTGAATCCAAGACGATGAATACCCTACACAATGGAAAATACCTGACATTTCCATAAAGTTGTTTCTCTCATGTTATTAATACTGCAACTCTAAAGAAGAAAAAAGTTCCTCAGAATCAATACTGTTTGAGGCTTTGCGTATTGGAGCTGAAATTTAGCTCCTCTGCTAATCCTCCCAATAGCAAAATAAGTTGCATAACTGAACAAATAATTTACGCAAACAGATTCCTCACAAGCTTTGCTGCTTGGGCTGTGGTGGCTCCATGAAAAAAAGAAGGTTAAAAAAAGTCATAAAATTTAATTGTGTTAAGAGAGAGTTTTGTGCCAAAACAGTAAACAATTCTGACTAGGTATCTAGAATGCCTTAAAAGACAAACGTTGGCAATGAAAGGGATCAATCAAACACTGTGTCCACACACAACAAATTCATCGTATTACTACAGCCTATCTGCTCTAGTTTGGCCAGGAGGGATTAGACCTCCCTGCATGGTCACTGATACATGTAGGTGGTTATCTCATCACATCAGCTCTTACATGTACATGTAAATAACATAAGAAAAAGGGGATCATGGGGGACCAATGGTTACGGCTTAAGCATTGTTTGCTACATGTAGTATATAGAGGGTGCAACTAGCTACACGTAGTGCAGTGGGGCTTTAAGTATTCTGTTGGAGATTGTCTTCCCTGAAGCGCAACATTGAATGGCCGAAATACACAATGCCACGATTCTAACAACCCTGCTCAAGTCCTTCAAGAACCACTGCTGCATGGCGGAAGTCTCCTGCACTGAATAGAGTAGGCCTACCTAAGCTTTTTTAAGAATTTCTCAAATTTTTCTTCATTTTCCAAAAGAGCAACAAAAATAATGTCCGAATGTCGAAAATCAATTGAATATGTTAAGTATTGGCTGAGATATGACCACCTGAAGAAATAGATTTCCTATAGGAGCTCAGTGTTATTTTGCTCTGGCTCATAACAGCTTCGGTACTTGATTGAGCTCAACACTTGAAGACTGAAGAGTTCTTCACAAATCACCCTAAAAGCCATTAAATCCTTAGAGCAAATACAGGTCTGAAAGCAATCGTCTGTAGTAGTTTACTAACATTTACATAAATTACCAACTGCATAGCAAACAAAATCTGAAGTTTTCTCTGAGAAACCCTTTGAAAAGAGAACCCTTGAATGTGTAGTTATTCATGAGTAATGCCTCTTGCGAACGACGCAAGATTTAAAATCCTTTATGTCCTAACATACCAAAGGTTACTGAGTTTGTTAAAGCCCCTTTCCGATGAAAATACAACTTGATATAATTGGAAAACTGAATGAATGTAGAATATAAATATAAAGGAATAAAAAGTATTTACCTACATTATTGCACAGAAGGAAATTACAACCTCATTTTCTCAATCCTCCAAATTACAGGTAACAGGGGTCAAATTTGCAGAAGTTTTACAGTGAAACCATGACATGTGGACCCAGCCAGCTCACCTACATGTATATAGCTGAGGCGATGAGACATGCTTAATTCATGCAAAGTCACTGTGAATACTACTCCACATTTATGATTTCATCAAGTCGATAGCAAGTTTTTTGTTGTAGGTCGACAACTTCCGATTTTCAAAGCTTTAGATTTTGAATTTTCAGAGAGCTGTTACTCCTCTGACAGACACTAAAATGGCATATAATTTATATTATTGTAATCTAGCTTTCCGTTGATCAATATTTAATTCATCCATTTAATTTTTTCAGTTTGGATAATTATGGTCTTTAACATTACAGTAAAAAGGTTATAAAGTGGTTTAATTTTGAACTGGATAAATCATTAAACATTACTACTGGCAAGTTTCAAAATTTCCATGAAGAATTACAATTGTATTTCAACAATTTTATATCATGTCACATGTGTTGTGCTATTAAAAAGAGCTATTAGACTGTTTTGGATTTACATGTACATGTTTTCTAAAACATGCTTCATAAATGTACTTTAGAGAAAATTTCAAAGTTACCTAAAGTTCATAAAGATTAATACAGTTTGTTTCAGGATTGCTTTACCTGACTACTATTAAAGTCTGAACATATATGCTTGTAACTAAGCAGCCAGGGAACCAACAGCTTAAATTCCTCTCTGCAGGAATTGGTAACGAGGATTAATGCGGGCACTGGTGCATTGACTTGGGTTAGCATGGTAATAATGAAGCACCACCATCTCAACGACCAAGGCCATCACCACCACTAATACCATTACCACCACTACCACAATTACCATCACCATGCAACCCCATCGACCCTACGATTGCCCATTTCCACCATTACCACTACCATCACCCCGGCACCATTCCCACCACCCCATTAACAGTACCACCACCACCACCCCAATCCCATCATCATCACCACATTTCCACCATCACCACCCCACCACCAACACTACCATCACCACCCCACCACAAACACCACCAGCACCACCACATTTCCCACCAACACCACCTCCATACCACCACCAACACCAAAACTACCATCATCACCACTACTACATTCATACCATCACTACCACCCCATTCTCATCATCGCTACCTCAATACCACCACCAACACCAACACTACCATCATCACCACTACCACATTCATACCATCACTACCACCCCATTCTCATCATCACCACCTCCATACCACCACCAACACCAAAACTACCATGATCACCACTACCACATTCATAACATCACTACCAATCCATTCTCATCAGCACCACCTCCATACCACTACCTACACCAACACTACCATCATCACCACTACCACCTCCATAGTTGAACTTGTGACCTCCCAGTTATAAATGAGACCACTGCTCTACTAGTGTATTTCATCTGCAATTGTTTGTCTATTAGAGGGATGGTTCATCTTAGCAACAAGGTAAATAAATAGTACCATCAAACAGGATGAATCAGACGAGAAAAACTTTCACTACAGATTGTGCTACCTACCCATATTCAGACTTTCAGCATCAACAGATGGAGCTGTATAATTACCTAAAATATTCAGGTTTAGGGCAAAACATCCTCAAGTTTGTAGGAACAGGTATTAGGGAAGTTGTGTTCAATTAATTTAAATGTTAATTTGACTGTGCAAAATGTATAACAATAATTTCCTAATCTGGGCCGATATTCATTTTGATAATAACATCAGTGTTTTACCCAGTTTTCAGATCAGATAAAACAACTTTAAATAAACTAATCAACTTTGGTATTCAATTGAATATTGGCTACCTGGCTAGGAGCCTTTGACTCATGCCAATGATTTTGAAAGCCTTGATTATACATGTAGCTGGCAACAGGGCTGGCAATATGGTATTGTCATTTCAAGGCTCACACAAGTATACAGTGTAGCTTTTGATTTAATGAGAGTTATTTTGGAGTGGCTACTTGACGGTTACACTATCTGAGGTCAATGTTGCCTTGCCTATAGACTTGAAACCATTTTGCTTAAAAAAGCAAAGCTACATGTAAATGCTCATTAAATTAAAGTATTTAATTGAATTATGGCCCTGATCCAGAAAGTGGGCCTCCATTCTGATGATTCCTGTGAAATTATTTGGACATCTCCAACAATTAGGAACAATTAATTTCAACTCAGAAAAATGAAGTAGTTTATTGCCGTTTAGTCTACAACCAGTTCTTCTACTACCCAATTGGTCTATTCCCATATGGTCCACACCCATGCAGCCCGTCTACTAATGACTACTATCCCCATGGTCTAATAATTATCATGTCTACTTAGCATTTGGTCTAATGACCATTTAGGCTACCTGTAATAGTCATTTGGTCTAATATCTATTTGGTCTAATCTCCAAATAAATCAGCTACCCATTTCCAGTCGGTTCAATTCCCAGTTGGTCCAATGTCCATTTTGTCTACCATACATAGGGTCTAATAACTATTCCATAGACTAAACAGCAATTCACCGATGAAGCTAAACTGGTGTCAAGTTGCATGCTTACCATGATGGTGTAGTACGTACAAATGAGTCTTGTTGGATTTCAATCAGACAGATTTCATCACATACATGTAGGCAATGTCAATGTTGTGTAGACATACTCGATCCAGAATTTTGGATGCCTCCACATTGACACTTTTGTATCAAATTACTTAAGGAATGAATTTCGGTTCACGCACAGATTTTTCCAGATCTGGATTCACAGTGAAAAACAAAATCTTTTCTTAATAAATGGCAATAAAAGTTGTGTAATAATTTTGATTTTTCTTTTTTTTTTTCTTTTCTTTTCTTTTCTTTTCTTTTTTTAATTTTTTTTGAATAATTTTTGTAAATTTTTTTTTTTTTAATTTAAAAAAGAGAAAAATAAGAGAAACTGAATGGTGAAAGTTTGAAATAAATCAGACCACAAAGGACAGAGCTACATGTACATGTATGCACAGTTCAAACTGGTAATTATTTCAGTGGGCTGTTACGTAGGACTTCATGGACAACTCTCAAGTTATTCATACATTTTTCAAACATATCGTTATTTCTCTTTTCTCCCAAGTGCCATCTCCCTTGGGAAGTTGGGACACTACTCAATATTTTTTTTTTTTTAAAGACGTACACCGAGTCATACATTTTGGAAGAATGACATTTTAATCATTGTTTTGTGTTGGAACAAGTGGGAAAATTATCCAGCACTACTGTACATTACAGTGACATTATTAATTCAACCAAATTGGAGTGGTATAGTAATAACTAGATTGATGTTCAACTGCATGCAGTCCAAAATGATGCCTCAGCTATAGAGTGATTTTACAAACCAAAACTGAAGCAATCTTTAAATTTCAACTTTGATTGTAATCCATTGACAGATTCTCAGAATATTGTGATTACAAGCTAGATTTCGAAAAACGCTATATACCTTATACGTATATTATACCCTCCCGCACATGAAAATGTCAAGCATTGCTGATCTTTGAACTTGGCGTCTCTGTAAACATGGCATATTTTATAAAGATTTTCTAATGTAAAGAAATGACAAATTCCTGTTTATTAAAGGTACTTTGTCCCATTTGCAGGCCAAAAAAATGAAAAAGTTAAATTCCAACTGCATTTGAAAGATAATACTAATTTAGAACTTCCCTAAAAAAGGTAAGGCTTGAAAATGTCTTCAAGTGGGAAAATAAAGACTATTGGTCGTCAAATCGATTTTCAGACAATTGTACCGAATGGTCATACGTTTTATGCTGCGCAAAGATTCAATCAGTTTAATCTTGGCCATCACAAGAAGTGGGTTATTGATGTAGACAAATGCTCATGTACCCTTTACAACTCTTTTCATTTTCATGTATGTTATTACCAAAGAAGAAAAAAGCCAGTCAGTCACTCAATAGTGTCTGACAGTGAAGTCTAGCAAGTAAACGGGTTTCCTTGCATAATTTGAATATGAGGACACTGCTAACGTTTTAATTTCACAGATAGGACATACATGTACAGTACATGACATATTCATAATTCCTGCAACGTTCTACAGAATTTGAGGTTGGCTGCAAAAGGGACATACATGTACAGGTGTAGTACCTTTAAAGTAAATGTGTAGAAAGATCATAGCTGGAGGATTTATTGTCCTTTCTTGCAAGCGATAGTCTACCTAATAAATGACATGTGATGGCGCTGCCCATCGACTAAATAGTTATTACAGAGATATGACGGTGTGTAAGGCGTCATAACTCCTTAGTCAGGAAGTTGTCCTTGATGTTAGCAAAAAGGGCTTGGTGAAACAAGTAGCGGACAAGTTGCTCACTAACGCTGTTTTTAGTCAAGAAGTTAGACTTATGACGGTTTCTAGGAATGGAACCTAGGCTCACACAAAGGAGCATCAATATCCTGGCTGTGTAGTAAAAGCTGTGCTTTTGATTCTCAACATTTCAAACACCACTGTACAAAACTCAACTGATTTCACTCAAATTCGGTACTTTAGTGACAATTGATGACACCTAAATAGCAGTAAAATACATTTTTTTTAACTTACTGATGTTAAAAAGAATAATTTAAAAATTCAAATTGTAAGTCTAGTGTCAAACTTTGCTTACAGCTGCATCGACATGATTGTGTAGAGTCTATGCGATATTGTGTGGTGTGTGTATTTGTGTATGGGTATAATAATACCTGCCTCACAGCAAGCATGCAGTGCTAGAGGTCAATACGCATTAGCATTGACTCTCTTAGACAGAAATAACCGTCTGATTTGGGTCATTTCTTTAATAAAACTGACATTTGTTGACATTCCCCAATACAGACAGTAACCCAGAGATCTCATACCGTGGGGGTAGCTAGAGCCAGCGATGTACAACTTTTCGTACATGACATTTTCTCCCCGATTTTCTTTATTTAAATCTTATTTTCTGATTTCTAAATCAGATGTAAATTAGGTTGGTATGTCATTTGTCATAATTACATTTATCAAAATTTGATAACTTAATATTTAATGCATAATTTGTGGACTTACTTAGAGTAGTGGCTCCGGTCTGCGGCCGATCGGCGGGAACTGCCGATTCTATTTTTATTGGAATACTCACAGAATACTTCAATACCCTCAATAAAGAGTCCATATACTTACTTATTAAATAGAAGTCACAAATAACCAAACTCACCCACAGCGTGGTCAGCATTGACCATGTTTCGAAATGCTTCGAGTTCCCCGGTTTGCGGGCACGCAGTACCGGTTTGCGGCACGCGTACGTCACAAAGCTTTATGCGCTACGTCACGATGAAAGCATGTACCAAATTACTACGGGTAACCCAAATTCTCATGTTTATCTGTTGCTACGGTAAATTTGTGAAGTTTTAAACAATTTCACCTTTTCCTCGAATGGATCATCCCATACGGGGGTACGTACTACTAGAAACTATCGGGTCATAGGGGGTACACACATCAGCACACATACCATCATACACGATCCCGCATGTTATGTGTGTATTAACACCCCCCGCCGCAAACCAGAAAAACACGTAATTACGTGCCGGTTTGCGGTCACCCCATGCAACTAGCCATGCGGTGGCACAATCAAAATATCTGCGATAGGAGACAGACCACAGCCCTCATACTTCCACAAAAACATCAAATTTCACCTCCAATCGGACAAATATCGGACAAATAGAGCTACAATATTGATCTAGTCATGCCTCGATCTCTTAACTTAAAAGTTAGCACCTGCTGGAATTTTCATCGGCGACTGGTGCCGTAGATTTCCGACATCGCTGACGGATACTCCGTACCGATAGGAGCACCTGCTACGGACATTTTCGGCAAAGCAGAACTTACCGTGGAATCCACGGTAGGTTTCAATGATTATTATCGAGTCATATTCATTTTATTTTTGAAACAAATACCCCTGGCCGCAAACCGGGCGATGCCGCAAACCGGAGACTCTACTCTATATGAATTATCCAATTTGTATCTCAGAACTGTGAAACAGTGCGTTCATGCACTCAAACATAGAGCTATATGACCCAGCGGCCGATATATTTCCGGGTCAACCTACCAAAACATAGCCAATGGCCAATCAGAGCACCCGTTTTGGGGAGTTCGTACTGTAGGTCAAGCCGGGCTGACTCGTACGTAGCTACGGTAGCTATTGGACGTTCGAAAAGAAAAAAATGAATATTCATCAACTAAAACCAAGACGGATAATGTTGACGACGAGACTTTCTCGGATTAATCATTAATTTAGGATCTAAATGAGCAAGCTATCGTAAGTCAAATAAGCTATATATAATATGTTATTTTTAATTTTTATTATAATTGCAGGCTTTGCAGCAGTTATGAGGATGTAAAGAGTGAAAATCTCGTTGCATATCTCATTCATCGCGGTCCGGTCGAACCGAACCATTTGTTCCGTACAATCCCGTACAGTCCCGATAGGCCATACTTCAGTCTCTATAATTGGAGGTCTAGTGGAGCCAGACGTAGTCTCAGCTCAGTGGAACAACCGACGATTAGAGAGACTGAAGTTTTCGGTCTATGACTCTCTATGCTTTGCTGGAGTGCCTAGGCTAGGGGGTCTACAATATCTAGTTAGGCCTAGATCTATTTTGATTTAGCTGCAGTGGTGAGGCATTGTTCAACCAATGGACGTCTGGTCATCTTCTGTGGTGGGATAGGAAAGATATTTCTAATCAGAGGTTGTAGTAACGTTTGCCTTGTCTTGAATGAGTCGTGGCAACGCAACGTATACACTGCACTGCAGTCTAGTCTAGAGAGTACCGCTAGCCGACACACTCTCACACTACAATCCCTGCCGGACTTTCGGCGAGAAGCAACGACAACATCCCGCTCGACTTCGCATACAACACGTTCATTCAAGTAAACATCCAATAACGCACATTCCCACGGCAATCTTAGCAAAATGACATAACCCTTACATAATAAACTAACTAAACATTAATTTTCACTTATAGAAAAAATAATAATTAGAGTTTTCGGCAACTAACCTCTAAAAACTGATGCCACGACTGAAGTTCTCTCTCGGTTGTTACTAAAATTCCGCTGACTGTCAACTAGCAGGACGCCACCTAGCGGTGCTGGTGGTACATGGTCTACAGTCAATCTTTTTGTCACGCATTCAAAAAAAAGTAATCAACTCGATCATGACGGGTCCATGCCAGTTACTTTTTTTTTTGCAACCGTCAGGCACAGAGGTGACCCCCCCCCCCCCCCCCCCAACAAAAAAAAAAAAACAAAAAAAACCACCAAAAAAAATTACATAGGAAAGGTTCCCCTTTAACTTTGTAAGCAGTGCTCCTTTTCAGGTACGAGAAGTGCCCCTTTTCACTTTAGATAAGTGCCCCCTTCACCTCAGACAATTGCCCCATTCAAGAGGTGAAAAGGAACACGAACTTTCTAGAAATGCGATTTTTTTTTTTTCCCCCCTTGAAATTCAGATAACACCCGCCAAATGACTTGTTGGTACCCTCTCTTCTAATTGTTTTTAATCACCAATGCGTGAAATATGCATCATACAAGTTGCATCAAATGAAAGAGGAGGATCTAAGCTTTACAAATATGTGTCATTTATTAATTATAATTGTGATTAAGTTATGATACAACATCAACAGTTCTCGGTTTCGTTTTTTTCTGGGACGCACAGCTCTATGGGCTGGACTATTTGTTTTTTCTCTTATCCTCAAGCGAGGTTTTTATTTCCATATTAATTTTAATACATATTTACTTTGATTACTCAATGATTGAGTGAAACATAACAAAGGCTAAAAATTAAAGTGTATTCAACAATTCAACCAGCTTAGTATTATTTTCTTTGCTAACACATTCATACCTTAAAATAGTCTTAGCAACGACTTAAATTAAAAAATAAAGTATGTGGGTAATAAACAAAACCATTAACAATCTTTTTAACGTAACATTTACACATTGCATATTGCGCATAATTTGAAATTATATTCAGGACAGTATATTTTTCGTTTCCTATGTCCTTATCTACAATTAGTGTCTTTTGGTATTTCTATTTGGAATAGGTTTAGTATCAATTTACAAATTATTTTCCAAAACAAAGTCACATCCATACTATATAACATAAAGTGAAACGTTGAGTCTTGACTACTTGTGCACAAGAGATGCATAAATTATTATTCACAATTTGCCATTTATAAACGTTTTCTTTTGAGGCAATAAACCTGTGAATCATCTTGAAATTAAATTTTGTCAACTTTATTATTACGAATTTGCTTTATCATTATCTGAAACGAATTCCAAAAATAAAAGACATTTGGTTCTAGAATTGACTTCTTACAACGATATAGTAATCTCTCACTTCATAACAAAAACATTCACTTTATCCCCTGTTTCTATTTCTATAAGATTTGAAATATCACATTCATGTTCAAAATCTATCCAACCAACACTGCGGAAATGCTTTCTTTGATTTTGTATATTCAAAATCAAATAAGAGCTGTTGTGCTTTCATTTTTTTTATATATCAATGTAGAGTCATTCCAAATACCATTTGTAATCAAATTTTAAAAAATTAATATAACCGGCATCTAATTGCCATCCTCGATAAAACAATATTTTTGTCCTATTTCCCATATAGGTTCATTTAAAATATTTCTTACTTTAAACATATCAACAAAGGCGCCAAAAAGGTGTGGGGGGGGGGGGGCAAAACGCCTCCCCCGGCAAAAAACAAAACAGTAAAGAAGTAAAGATGGTTCGTATTTTTAACCCCAAAGAACACAACAATAATAAAAACCTGAATTAAATCAAATATAAAATTCGATTCAAAGAAAAGGAAAGTTAACAGGAATTAAATTTCCTAAACATTCCGCATGCCACCTATAAGCTTTTATATAGGCGATACGCGCATATCGTGGAAATATTGTGAGAGGATGGGAAAGCTTTTTTGGGGGGCCCTCGAAAATTTAAAATTTGCACCCCCCCCCCCCAAAAAAAAAAAAAAAAAATAATAATAATAATAATAAATAATTTAAAAAAATAAAGGTAAAAATCACGGGTCCCTTAGAATCCGCCACTGCCCCACTATGCGACATACACACCATCCGACCACACTTCCACCACACACTGTTCCTAGCCTCCTCAGAATATCCCTAAATTAATTGGAGCTACAGACAAACAGAAGTAATCTGTTTAAACATTTTAAAACAATTTAATAGCCCAGTTTAAAAGTTCATGAAAACTTCACTTGTTCCCACTTCTGTAAATGTAAAGCCAATTTACCTGCCCTCCCTGTAATATTCCTTTTTTCTTTCATAAATTCCAACACGTCTGTAAAATCCCAATTACACACAATTCACTCACTCGAATGACGCCCCCGGTCTCCACCCACCCTCCCACATACACACACCCTCGAGGCTCGAATTATGTTTGATCAGTGCTTTTGCCAGTTAATGCATAGCGCCTATGTTGATCTTCAAATTGGCAAAATACATCAAGATGGCGACCCACAGCACACTCGAGACGCCGGTGGCAAGTGTACAAATTGATGGTTTGGTATGTATTACACTTCCTTATTTTGGAATCGTTTATTGTATTCGTGCGCGTATTACTTTTAACTGTCATATTCTTTACTTGATAAACAGTTTTTGTCGCAAACAAATCTGTGTAGCCCTCTTTTCTCATGCCGTATGTTTCCCGCGACAGACATGTGTGCGTGCATTCGTGTGTGCGGGAAATATAGTCACTGGCCATTCACTGAATTGCCTGTCGTGCCAGTAGCCTACGTACGTGTTGCCGTGCTGCTCCAGCGCTGAGCGTGAGGCGTGAGTAGCCCCGCCGTAACGGGTAGCCTCCCTCGAGTTGCACTCAATTCTCAATGACTCACCAATCAGATTTGGATGTGGATGCACATAGGGACCTACTTGAACAGGTTGAATAGAGCTCTGTCACCTCTCTGTTTTAACCCTCAAAAGTCCAAAGCAAAGGGCGTGATGATGAAGGGAGATCAGGGGAGGGGGGGGGGGGGAATTAAAAATGAATAAAACGGGCGTCAAACAAGTTACTTTCAACATTAGATTTAAGTATTCAGATGTTGTTGAATTCCAATCATTAATCTCTCTCTCTCTCTCTCTCTCTCTCTCTCCTGACTGCAGGTTGTGTTGAAGATCATCAAGCATTGTGAAGAGGAAGGAGGCAGCGATGGAGAGATGGTACAAGGGGTCCTTCTTGGCCTCGTCCAAGGTGACACACTCGAGATCACAAACTGCTTCCCGTTCCCCAAGCAATCAGATGAGGAAGATTTTGATGAAAGTAAGTATTTCCAGGTCCTGGGGGTGTTTCACAAAGATTCTAAGTCGACTTCAATATTATGGAGAGCCATTTTGTAGAATTTGTACCCTTATAATGAAATATATTCATAAGCGAAAATTCAAGTATTTTAGACTTTTCATAAATTCCACATCAAGAACATGAAATCTCTGAAGATAATAGAAAATATGAATGATTTGAATCAACATTTACCAAAGTATTTTTACAGATGCTTATGGCTTTCCATAATTGTTAAGTCCAACTTAGAGATAAGTTCAACTTGGGATCTTTGTGAAACACCCCCTGTTCTTCATGTAGAAACTGTTGGTATGAACAAAAAGTATTCATTCTAGTTTCTACTCTTCCATTTTGTTTGCTAGTTTCATGTCGATCTCTTTGGACAGTCAATTCTCTATTGATGCGGCGCTTGCTACTGCATCATTTGCTCCATGCTTATTTTGTTGAAAACAGGGTTAGGGTTGTGATCGGATGTTAGGGTTGAATATCAGTCAATTTCCTGTTATTAGGACAATACTAGAATGGTGGGAAATCCCTTTAAAGGCGGGGTATTTTACTGACATTACTTCAGATTTATGTATACTGCCATCTGTTGCTCACAATGACCTAATGTGTCAACAGCCATGCCCCACAATGCATCACCAACTGCATGAGGCACTCGTGATGATGCTTGGGTACAGAAACCAAAAGTTGTGCCATGTGCGTCTTCAGCATAAGATGGGGAAATTATGAATATGTCACAGCAGTGGTAGCGATGTTGGTAAAATACCCTGATTTTAAATTTGAATTCTACATTTTCACTATCATTTCTCTGCATGTTTTCCTGCTTTCAGTCCAATATCAGATGGAAATGATGAGGAATTTACGGCACGTCAACATCGACCATCTCCACGTTGGGTGGTACCAGTCAACAAAGTATGGCACATTCCTCACCAAAGCCTTGCTAGATTCACAGTACAACTACCAGCACTCCATCGAAGAATCCGTTGTCCTTATTTATGGTAGGTCATTACTTACCAGTGTAACAATTATTTTAACTTAAAATGCTAGTGTAATAATTATTATTATTATTATTTTTTTGTAAACAGGAGCTCCTTTCAGATTCACTATAGCAAAATGATCATTTTCTTGAAGCAATTCAACTCTGATTTTGTTTGTTTGGTTCATTTTACTATAGCTCTTTTAGAGCTTTTGAATGTTAAAATATATGCATGTGACTTGTGATTGACATAAGGTATACCCGTACATTGGCACTGATATCTAGTTGTATTTAATCGGATAGGATCTTTAAAGATAAAGTTGAGTTCTGGTCATGCGCTTGCATGGTGAAAGAAAGAGTGTGGAATCAATCATAAAAGGTTGATCATCTAGCAAATAAGTATTGGTGTGTACTGCAAGGTTCTAGAATCATCAAAATGATAAGAAATTCGGCCCAGTCTTGGTAAAGTTACAAGCCCTGTACACAGAAAGATGTGTATGGGACTACACAAACATGTGGCATAAAAATCTACCCCGATTTTTATGATGTTACATGCCATATTTAGAATATTAAGGCATTTGAAGAGCCATGCTTTTTAGGGAACAGTTTTTATCTGATGTTCTTCCACACTTGCATAATACAATGAAAACGCTCACAAATTAATTTTCACCTCTTCCCAGAACTCAACCTTCTCTTTAAAACTACCCTGTGTTTTGGAACGGTAACCAGCTGTTGAATACCCTATAAAGTGATACAGCCTTATCAAATAGTAAGAAAAGAGAAAAAGAAAAAAGAAAAAGAAAAAAGAAACAAAATGCCTGCACATCCATGTAATCATCCTCATCTCGGCCTATTCAACATACTGTGCACTTGATGAAGTTATCATGCACTTCCTTACGAATGCATCATAACCATAGGTACGTTTTCATCAGCTCGAGATTGCCAAATAGCCCGCTATTTCTGATTTGGGAAATAAGCCCAAAGTTACAAATCGCGTCTTCATCGGCTCGAAACTCAAGCTAGAGATATTTAGCTCAGCGTTATGTGCATAGTGCGAGTCTTCGCGGTGGTAAAGACGCACCGGACAATTTATAGCTGGATATTTTGCAAACTAGCCCAAGATATCTTGGGATGATTATCTCAACCAAATATCCCACCACTTGCAACCGCAGGCTGATGAAGACGCAAATTAGCTGGATAATTTGTGATCGGGATAGTTCACATAGCAGGTTATTTGGCAATCTCGAGCCGATGAAGTGAGGCCTTAAATAGCTATAGTCTAAATGTGTTTCTTTTTGATTTTACGTTACAGATCCTGTCAAGACTTCTAAATCCAGCTTGAGTCTCAAAGCTTACAGGTTAACGGAGCAAGCAATGAGTGTATACCAGGACATGGAATTCACATTGGAGAGGTGAGAACGACCATGCTGACATCCCATAGCAGTCCTTTATTCAGGACTGATAATTACTCAATTTAATTACTCAGTTTTTATGCCTCCGTTACGAAGTAGCCGGAGGCATTATGTTTTCGGGTTGTCCGTCCGTCCGTCCGTCCGTCCGTCCGTCCGTCCGTACGTCTGTACGTACGTCTGTACGTACGTCCCGTTCTCGTGATCACGTTATCTGAAGAACGGATCAATGGATTCCTACCAAACTTTGGTCATATATGTATCTAGCAAAGTCGATGAACTGACTAGATTTTGGGGTCACGAGGTCAAAGGTCAAAGGTCACAGGGCTCATTATGTATGCAAAAACAGCTCGTGATCGCGTTATCTGAAGAACCGATAGATGGATTCCTGCCAAACTTTGGTCATGTATGTATCTTGTAGAGTCGATGAACTGATTAGATTTTGGGGTCACGAGGTCAAAGGTCAAAGGTCACAGGGCTCATTATGTATGCAAAACGGCTCGTGATCGCGTTATCTGAAGAACCGATAGATGGATTCCTGCCAAACTTTGGTCATGTATGTATCTTGCAGAGCCAATGAACTGATTAGATTTTGGGGTCACGAGGTCAAAGGTCAAAGGTCACAGGGCTCATTATGTATGCAAAAACAGCTTGTGATTGCGTTATCTCAAGAACCGATTGATGGATTCCTGCCAAACTTAGGTCATGTATGTTACTTGCAGAGCCGATGAACTTATTAGATTTTGGGTAACGAGGTCAAAGGTCACAGCGCCCATTATGTATGCAAAAACAGCTTGTGATCGCGTTATCATTAGAACAGATTGATGGATTCCTGCCAAACTTAGATCATTTATGTATCTTGCAGAGCCAATGAACTGTGTAGATTCTTGGTTCATAAGGTCCAAGGTCATGGGCTCATTATGTATGCAAAAATAGCTTGTGAACGCATTCTCATTAGAACTGACAGATGGATTACTATTTAACTCTGGATATCTTGCAGAGCCAATGAGCTGAGTAGATATTAGGATCATGAGGTCAAAGTTCAAAGGGTCATATATGTATATGAGAAATTGTTTGTAATCACGATATTCTGAGAACCTGTTAATGGATTACAATTGAACTTGAATTTGAAAAATTTCTTCTGTTTTGGTTTGTAAAATTGCTCTATGACGGAGGCATCATTTTCGACTGCGCGCAGTCGAATTCCATCTAGTTCTGATCATTATTTTTTCCCCCATATTTTCCTGATGTTTTCCTATTTTTTCAGAATTTTCTTACTCAAAAGGGGGGGGGGGGGGGGACTGTTGTTAGATGCCTTTTTTTCTTTTTTTTTCTTCCCCGATTTCCTCCCTTTTTGGGGGGGAGGGGGGTTGCATACCTGCCAACCACCCCGATTTAGGCGGAGTTCCTTCACATTTTTCATACCAACTCCGAATTCCGAGTGCATGCCTCAAAACTCCGATTTTTTTTTTTTTTTTTTTTTTTAGAGTGTAATGCACTTGGAGAGTATATAACTATTATGTTTGTATTTTGAAATGTAAAGCGCCTTGAGCATGTTCATGTAAAGGCGCTCAATAAATACCAATATGTATGTATGTATAAGACTAAAGCATAACACAGCACTGATAACCAGATCACGCCGACATCCGCGCTCGCGCTCATAGAAGATATACACAGCGACATGGAAAAAAAAAAATAGACCCTAAAGTCCTGTGTACCCCCCCACCCCCCAATCTACGGGCTACTACCCCAATCCTTCGGTGGTTCGCGACCTCGTAGTCCATCCAGAAAAATTTACTCCTAATTTCTCTTGTCTCAGGTTGGCAGGTATGGGGTTGAGGGGAATTTTGTTGTGTGTGTGCTCACTATCGCCCCTGTTTATTCATTTTAATTCATACTGGGTATCTCTCTCCGTATATGTTTTCCTCGATAGCCCCGGGACAAATTAAAGATGACAAATACAGAGGAATTTGAAAAAAGTTTATATACATACATATAATATCAAATTTGTAATACCTTAATACAAGCATAGAAACATAATTTGATATCTGGAGCAGTTCAGAGTTTCCTAAAGATTTTAATGAATAAACTTTTCCTCCTCAAATTGACAACAAGTATATGTATTTTCATAGCCAGAATGCGACTCAATCTGTAATCATCTTTAAAGAAAGCCTGGTAAAAAAAAAAGAAAATGAATTCTCACAGAATCAAACGAAACTTACCGGTTGACTGAATGTTAAAGATTACAAATAAATGTCATGTGCCAATCGATTTTGGAAGAAAATGTATACTGGTTGAGTAATGAGCATGGAAAGATAAAGAAATCAAGGTAAGCTAGCCCCGTATACATCTTTATGTGTACAGTGCTTGTTACTTTACCAAGACTGGGCCAAATTTATTATGATATTGATGACTCTTAGAACCTTGCAGTACACACCAATACTTATATGCTAGATGATCAACCTTTTCTGGTCGATTCCACACGGTTTCTTTCACAGTGCAATCACATGACGAGAACTCAACTTAATCTTTAAACACAAATTTATCTTTGAGACTTTTATCTTCATCAATCTCTCGTCGGGGTTCCTTCCTTTCACTCACAGCATTAGGAAATCAGGGCTGAGCTTTGACAAACTCTTTGAGGAGATTCCCATCGTGATCAAGAACTCGTACCTGGTCAAGACACAGATCTGTGAAATCGAAGGTCTCTCTACTGCTGGTGACGACAACTTCCTCAGCCTCTCCACAGGGTAAGTTGTTAGGGTTTGCTCACATATGATGCCTAATTCGCAGGGGTTTTTATCAGGATAAACCTGCCATGCATAATCCGGAGCTGCCAACCATTATGTTTTTCCCAGAATTATTCTGTTTTTTTCTTCTCCAAATTACGGTAGTATGTTTTTTCACCATAATTTTTTTGCCCAAATCTGACCGCACTTCAACTAAATGCCCTAAAATGTTGTTCGCTTCCTCAGAAGAGAACAAATTTACAAATAGTAAGTGAAAAAAATTGAAAGGTGTAAAAGTTCCCAAAAAGAATGAAATGCAGATAATACTATTTTTCAAAAAAATGTGGTACTTGTAAATTAAATTTAGGTCCTAATATGGAAATAAGAGCATCAGGAATGGACATTTCTGCATAGGAAGTGTGTTGCGCGTAGTTGTATGTTTCGTTATAATGAATACCTTTTTTTTTGCTATCACGGGACTCAAACTTCAAACCATGGAATCTTAAGTCTAGTGACATATCCACTAGACCATAACACCTCAAGGCTCTACATTATTATTATTTATTAATATATGAGAATATTTATTTTTATAAATGTCATAATTTGTTTGTTTCAGTACACTCCTTGAGAAGAATGTGGAATTACTAATGGATCAAGTGGATGATCTATGGCAAGACACCAACAAATTCTTCAACTATCAGCGTTCTATGGCAAAGACCAACCAGGCTAAGACACAACATATAAACAAACGGGTAAGGTCACCCCCACATCTCTTCATTAAAGATAAACTCCAGTTCTGGTAAAAAAAAAGAAAATTAATTCTGACAGAATCAAACAAAACTTACACTGAATGTTCAAGATTACAAATCAATGACATGTGCCAAACAATTTTGGAAGAAAACGTATACTGGCTGAGTAATGAGCATAGAAAGACAAGGAAATCAAGGTAGTACTAGCCCCGACACCATGTGTGTTGTCCCATATATAGCTTTCTGTGTACAGTGCTTATTACCGTACCAAGACTCGGTCAAATTTATTATGATTTTGATGACTCCAGAACCTTGCAGTGCTCACCAATACTTACATGCTACATGATCAACTGTTTCTGATCCTTTCCACACCTTTTCTTCACAATGCAATCGCATTACCAGTACTAAAGTTTATCTTTAACTCTTTAAATGCCACACAAATAATCTCCCTTTGCCACGTTGTATTTATCAAGGCTTCAGGATTATTTAACTGTTTCCGGTGCGAGATCAAGCTCTACCTGTGTTAATCCATTTTTGGATGCAGCATCCTATGTGCACTTTTGCTTCTCAGTAAATGTAATCTCAAACAGGTGTGTTAGATTTATTGTTATTTTACTTGTAAAAATGATACATTTACCGCATAAGAAAACATCTTAAAATCACCTGAAGCTGATTTATCTTGCCATTTATTCTATTAAAAAAATTATTTTCAGTAAGTGCAGTCCCATATGTTCATTTTCATGTGACATGGATTTATGCATGACAGTTTACCCCAGACAAACGTAAGATTCCCTGTCACTCAAAGTTTTGTAATACTGTTCACAGACCGCGGAGAATGCAGCCAGAGAGGAAAGGCACGAGGCCCCTCTTCCAGATGAAGATTTAAGCAAGCTTTTCAAAGCCCCCACCATGCCATCGCGACTGGACACCATGCTCCTGGCCGGTCAGATGAAGAACTACTGCACGGAGATCAAGCGCCTCTCGTCTCAGAGCTTCGGCAAGCTCTTTATGGCTGATGCCCTCCAACCCAAGCCATCATCGTGAGATAACCATCTCCCCTTCTCCTTCTCCTTCTCCCTTTTCACTTCTCCCTTTCCCCTGTCCCTTCCCCCGTTAGGATGAGAGATAACATAAAGCCCATCTGCTCTAGTTTGGCCAGGAGGGATAAGACCTCCCTGCATGGTCACTGACAGGTGATTATCTCATCAAATCAGCTGTCAATTACCATAAGAAAAAGAGGACCATGAGGGATCAACGGTCACCACTTAGCATTGTTTGCTATATAGAGGGCGCAGGTAGCTATAAGTAGTGCAGTGGGTCTTTAAACAGATGGATTGAGCTATAGAGCAAGGGATATCAAATTATCACCAAACACATATCTTTTGATGTTGGAACTAGAACATTTCAAATGCTCAGGTTTTAGGCTCATAGAGTATCCAGTATTACCTGATCTAGCATTTGGTAAACTGGGCAGCATTTCATGTTACCGTCATAAGTACTAGTTTGCCAACAACCCATTGAAACGCGCATATCAAACTTAACACAAGTTTCAATGGGATGTTGGTGAACTTTTCCTAATGATCATTTCATGAAATGATGCCTGATTTCCTACTACATTATGTTTGAAGTATTCATTTCAAAATATTTCAACCATGAGCCAGAAATGTTTTAAAGATATTGAGCCATTTCATCTGTGGTATTGGTGTTATGTATGAGACGGGTAAAGAGGCCTTACAAATTGGCTTTTGATGCTCTTGACACTATTTCGAAAGATCCATATGGAGCACATTTTGAACCTGTTTCAAAAAAGTTATCACTTTTATTAGTTTTTACAGAATGATCATTTTTGAGCCGAAACTTAACCCCAAGTTCTTAAACTGAATGGACTTTATCGAGAATTACTAGAATCCATCTTTATATGTTTTGCATACATGGAAAACCTCATTACTAATAAACCCCTCAAAAGAAGTTTAGAATCTCCAGTTTGATTGATTATATCTATCTTCTGGGATAATTATCGTTTTGTTTAGTACAACTAGACGGTACATATGTTGTTTGTTTATTCCTCTTTCAAATGATACCATTTTATCCTTGGTAGAAGTTTCCATCGCTTTATTTATTATGTGGCTCAGATTCCCCAGCATTTTATGTCGGACTGTAAATTAGATTAGTCTTTGGTTGGAAGCTCTCAAATTATGTGAATTAAAAGAAATATCAGATTTGTTGATAGTTTTGAATGAGTCGAGAGGTAATGATGAAAATATATTTGTATTTCTAATATGTGGGAGATTCACAAATTCCCTCATATTTAGTCAGTATCTATAATAGTCTGGGCCGGTATTCAATTTTATACTTAAAGATAAAGTTGAATTCTGGTCATGAGTTTGCATTGTGAAAGAAATAGTGTGGAATCAATCAGAAAAGATTGATCATCTAGCATATAAGTATTGGTGTGTACTACAAGGTTCTGGCATCATCAAAATTATTAGAAATTTGGGTCTTTGTGAAGTTACAAGCAATGTACACAGAAAGATGTATATGGGACTACACAAACATTTGAAGAGCCATGCTTTTCAGGGAACATTTTTTATCTGATGTTCTTCCACACTTGCATGATAACAATGATATTGCTCACAAATTTTTTTTCACCTCTTCCCAGAACTCAACCTTCTCTTTAAGTCCAACTTAGATCAAATACTTGGCCAACTTCAGTGTTCTTTTGATGCTTCTGGCTAAGTATCTTACCCTAAATTTAAGACAGCTCCCTAGCAGACTTAAACCAACTATTGTGGGAAGCCCATTGGCAGTCATCATGAGCTGCGCACAATCATATTAGCGAGCGTGTAATGCCGTTTTACGCGTCAAATTTAATGCGACACTGAAATTGCGGATAACTTTTGATTGACCGTGTGATGTCACAATGTTTATCAGTAAGTATTTTGCAGTAAAGTCTGCTTGTGAAAATAAATCTCTTACATGTGATCTGAACACGAGTTAGACATTTTACTTAGCGAAATGCTAAGTAAAAGTTTGACTCGGACAAAGTATCAAATTGAATACCGGCCCTGGACATTCAAAATTGGATGGATATTCCAAGGGCGCGTTCATGCTTGATTTTGACGGCCAGAATCAGGCATCTGTTACGCGTTTAGTTTAAAACACGGTTGCGTCTTAGCTCACTTTTGTAGAATCACCGAAAAACGGCGATCACGATCGCCGATCGTAAACTCACAAAAAGATGCGTTTACAATTTGTAAACGCGTTTAAATGGGGTCAACGCACTGACCTCTAGTGGGTCTACGTAGCATGCACAGTGAAGGTTTGCGAATCCAGCTGGAAGACCAATTAAGACCACACACGGAGAATTGCCTGGGGAGCCAGAGAAGTAAGCATGAACACTACATCGTGGAACTGCGGTCACGATGAGCGTTTACGATGAGCGTTTCAGATCGCTCATTCTGCCTTCAAAATTTAAGCATGAACGCAGCCCAAATCAAATAATTCTGAAGGTACCAATGCTGACACAGATGAAAAGGTTTTGTGAAACATTTGTGCTATTGCTTTCAATGTTTGATGGTGTATACCTTATTATTAATGAATGACTTCACAATAAACCACTTCCCATCTTTATTTCTATTGATTCCTAGATTGTCTGCCTATGTCTACTTCACGTAAGGCCCTTTTGGAATTGTCTAACACGCCTGAGGCAATAGCAGAGGGTGTTTAAACTAAATAATTTTACATAATGCCCGAACAAATTGTGTATTATTTGTTTTATAAGATGATGTTCTATTTGTTTTTATAGAATGATGTTTTATAACATGATGTTACTAATGACCGGTCTTTAGTAAAATTATGTGTTCAGCAAAATAAATACCTGGTCACGTGAACGCTCTCAACCAATCATTTGATTAGGTTCCGCTTCATCATCTTATAAACCAGACTATTCCATTGTCCAAGGTGGTTTACTGCCTTTTCTTTCATGAAATGTATCGTGTGAAATTCTGAATAATTGAACAATTAAATAATTTCATATAGTGTGGGGTCTATACAGCTAAGGATCAATGCGATGGATGCCATTGTTAAATTATGACACATGGAAGTATGTTCAGTTCTTTTAAAGTAAAAATTTAATCATTTTCATCACAACATACCAGTACACATAATTATATTAAGACATCTGTGAATAATGCTGATACTGTTATTTCAAAAAGAATAAATATGTGCATGATAATAACCTATTCTGTTGTTGCATTGGATATGTGTTGTGTACTAAAAATCAAACGCAGAGCTGTTCATTTGTACATATTTTCACTAAGAAATTCTGAGGATTTGCTTTCATACAAGATGCTGTTTTTGAAATATATAGACATGTATAGAGAGAGAGAGAGCGAGAGAGAGAGAGAGAAAGAGAGAAAGAGCAAGAGAGAGAGAGAGAGAGAGAGCAATAGAGAGAGGGAGAGAGGGGGTATATGTGTTCTATTTCATTTGAGAAATATGGATAGCCTCGATGAAATACCGATTCTCTACCAACATTGTGGAGAATATTCTTGTGGAAATTGAAAGCTCTGCCTTTTCCGTTCTTATCTTTATCACCAGCACTCTCATGACCATAATTCGAAATGGATATCATTAATCTGATCAGAGTCCATCCTGTGTATTAGGATAAAACTATTTTATTTTATCTTTGTCTTAAATTCTAAACATCATGATCGGTTGTCAGCGTTGTCATCATTATAAACATCACCACACCATCATCACTATCACCATTATCATCATAACCCTCATCATTGTCATTGTTGTCATCTTCTATCGATCCCCTCCCCCTCTCTTTGTCCACTTACATTTACCTCTTTTTTGTGTCTCTGTCATCATCATCACCATCATAATCACTATAATCATTGTCATCATTGTCATCATCTTTTATTGATCCCCTCCCACTCTTTCCCCTCTCTTAGTCCACTTACATTTACCTCTTTTCTGTTTCTCTGTCATCATCACCATCATCATCATCTTCATCATCATCAACTTCTATCGAGCGCCTCCCACTCTTTGTCAACTTACATTTACCTATTTTCTATGTCTCTGTCATCAACATCACAATCATCACCATCATCTTTTTCATCGTCATCTTCTATCGATCCCCTCCCACTCTTTTCCCTCCCTGTGCCCACTTACATTTACCTCTTTTCTGTGTCTCTGTCATCATCACCATCATTATCACCATCACCATTATCATTATCTTCATCATCATCTTCTATCGTTCCCCTCCCCCTCTTTGTCCACTTACATTTAGGCCTACCTCTTTTCTGTGCCTCTGTCATCATCACCATCATTATCACCATTATCATTATCACCATTATCATTATCACCATTATCATCATCATCATCATCATCATCATCACCATTATCTTCATCATCATCATCATCACCATTATCTTCATCATCATCGTCTTCTATCAATCCATTCCACTCTTTTACCTGTTTTCTGTGTCTCTGTCATCATCACCACTATTATCACCATCACCAACATTTTCATCATTTCTATAATTCATAAAATTATTGTCATTATCATCATTCATCTGATCAGAGTTCACCCTGAGTGATAATGATGAAACAAACTAAATGTATCTTATTTTCTATTGGTCTTAATCATCACAACCAATGTGATGATGATAATCATTGTCATCATTATCACCACTGCATCATCACCTCTTTTCTATGTCTCTGTCATCATCATCACCATCATCATAATCACCCTAATCATCATCATTATCGTCGTCGTTATCATCACCATTATCATCTTCATCGATCATCATCTTCTTCTATCGATCCCCTCCCACTCTTTTACCCGTTTTCTGTATCTCTGTCCTCATCACCATCATCATCATCACCAAAATCTTCACCATGTCTATAATTCATCATTGTCATTATCATCATTGTCATCATCTTCTATCGACCCCCTCCCACTCTTTTTCTTCTCTTTGTCCACTTACATCCCCGCCATCATTATCCTCTCCATCACTATCGCCATTATCATTACCAGCTTCATCACCATTATCATCATCACCACCAGGCGCGGATCCAGGATTTCTTAGGGGAGGGGGCCCAAATTTTTTTTTTTATTTTGCTCCCGGAAATTTGAAAATCGCGCCGGCCGAAATGTCGCTCAGTGGGGGGGGGGTACAGAGCACAATTTTTTTTTTTTTTTTTTTGCTCCCGAAAATTTGAAAAACGCGCCGGCCAAAAATTCGCTCAGTGGGGGGGGGGGGGGGGGGGGGGGGGGGGGGGGGGGGGGGGGTAGTGAGCACATTTTTTTTTTTTTTGATCCTCAAAAAAATTTCAATTTGCACCCCCCCCCCCCCCCTTGAGCGCCAGGGGGGGGGCCCAACCCCCAAAAAAGGTAAAAATCACGTGATTTTGCATGATTTTTTTCTCAAGGGGGGGGCCCGGGCCCCCCGGGCCCCCCTGGATCCGCCACTGATCACCACCACCATAACAACACCATTATCCTCATCATCATCATCATCTTATATTGATCCACTCCCACTCCCTCTCTCTCTCTCTCTCTTTCTCTCTCTCTCTCTCTCTTAATCTCTGTCCCTTACTGTCCCCCTCTTACACTGTACATCATTCACACTTATAAACTACATAAAGTCCGTTTGATTTCTGTGCTTTTTCTGTGATTTATTCCATTGTGCGTACAAGATTTCAAAAAGAAATGTCATTTCGATATGCATGTTTACATCAAAATAAGTGTCAAATGGATTTCATGCAAGATTATGTCAGACATGACTTGCCTAACAAAACAAAGGAAGTAATAATTTTAAGAACAAATCAGATTTGATCATGAGAATGAAGAATTTGTTGTTCGCAAGAACAAAGAAACATTTTTTTTTTCTTCAACCTTATCATTTTGACATTTCATTATACAAATCAGAAATAAGTGCAGCGTCAAAAATAAATACATCCATTAGATTTTAAAAATATATTACTCTACTGAAATAAATCATTTGGAAAAGTATGAGAGATAACAAATAATATACATCGTATGAAGAAAATTGACTAAAATTTTAGCAACATTCAGTGCCAACTGTAATGTGTCTACGTGGTTTACGTTTACCCTGCAGCTATACAACTGGTGCATCTTCAACACATTACAACTGTGCATCTCACAAAAACGATTTTAACGACCAAAACAAATATTATTTACACATCAAGAGACGCATATCAAGACAATTTAAGCTCATAAATTGTTACAAATCCTGTGCTTAATTTGTTTTATGCTAAGGTCTCTCACTATACACGAGTTGCATTAATAACTCTACGTCCACTGTACATGTACAATATGAGGGCGATGAGGGCAGCGTGCAAAGATCATCG